TTTAAGCTATGTTTTGTTTGTTTTGCTAACAAATGTAATCTGAATGCATACAGTGCAAAATATAACGTACAATTAATACTTTTGAAATTTGTTTCTTATGTTATCTAATTGTCTTTGACCAAATTAAAAAACACACACACAGAAAACGGCATTTTTTAACTTACAACGGAATCCGCCGGGGAAAAAAAGAATGGTATAGCAAATGATGATAATTTATACCTTTAACGATCGGTCAAGTAACCAGCTCATTGACCCACCACTAGGCTGTAGTCGTCATTTGCACAAGCTCAGCTTAATCTTAAATAATGTTTATGTTAAGTTATTAACACTATCTATAACGACTTTGACTCTTGATCGTCTTTATTATTATTTCCCCCAGACCAACCGAAGAAATCACTGATCCCGTCGGACGCTATCGTTTCATTGTTCGGGTCGCCGGCGCAGCCTTGAGATAGCAACATGCTTAGAGAATCTCCTTCTAGTTCTAGCTCTTCAAGATCTGCAAAGAAATCATCTGCCAGATGCTGATCATGAAGCTCCGGTCTATATGAAGCAATCTTATCGTCTTCTACGTTTTCCAACTCCATGTCTTCTTCTGTTTGTTCATTCTTAACGGCAGAGGCTGATAGAGGAGGAGAGGCCGAGGAAGGCAAGTGAGTGTTGTTTTGATGGCCATTGAGTGAAGCGGTTGCGGTTGAGGATTTGGAGGAATTAGGGTTAGAGGAGCAGGAGCGTGTAGAACCGGCAAGAGAGTTGCGTTGAATGGGCCACGGATGGTTATGTTCGGAAGTATATGTAATAACCAACATGCTTGGATCGGCTCTGCTTCTTTCGACTTGCTTTCTTGCTGAACAACCTTTTGAGCTGCTGCATCTATAGTAACCCCTGAGAAAAAAAAAAACAACCATATAATTAAGTAATCATTAAGATTAGCCATATTAATCCTTATGATTACATGAATTAGTATAATGGTTTATATCGGTAAAATACCAAAACCATACTGAATGACTAACATTCCCCATATTGTAAACAGACGATGATTCAAAAACTCTTTTGCTGGGTGAGTTAAATTCTGATGATTGAATTGTTATCTTAAATTTTTTTTGTCAAATATTATCTTAATTTCACATGATTATTATATGCAAAAAAAATGTTAAATTCACGGGTGGGTATATGGACAAAATTTCAATAGGAGTGCTGTTACAATAATCGAATCTTTGCAACAACTTGAGCCAAGAAGAATGTAATAGTGTAAGAAAGCTTAGTTTTGAATGATAGATACTAATATGGTTTGGGTTTGTGTAATACCTTGGAAAAGGAGAGCCTTTGATAGGTTTTTGACCGTACTTACGCCAAGCCCATAGATCAGACGGAACTACTTCTCCGCTTGATCGGCTGTTCATCGCAGCCGGCGCCGGTATACACACCACCTTCTTTGCCTGACTCTTCCTGCACGTATATATGCATACTTACACACGTGTGGTTTTTGGTCTATTTTTAGACACGCGTGTATATATGTAACTTATGAAAGCTAAGTTTGGTAGTGGGACATTATTATTATCAGTTGGGTTTGAGATATGATGCAACGCAGTTGTATGTTCTTTTATTGTGACAGTTCATAGATTCTCCTGCATGTGTCTTCAATCTCAACCATCCTTCCTCTCATGAATATACACAGTTTTATATGCACATAAATTCATGAATATGAAAAGACAAAACAAAACAACCTAGAAAACTTGAGTAATAGATCAGCATTTCGTTGATAAAAAAAAAAAAAACCTAGAAAACTTAACAATGAAAAGCGCACATAAACACATACACACTAGGTAACCATGCCTCATTCTATTATTACCAATTATATGCATGCTTCTGATTTTTTAAATGAAAATAGTGATGGATAGTTCCTATAAACTTACAGCTCCCAGGCGGCTTAAAACCCTAATTAACTTTACTTTCTATGTTATCACGAAAATGATGTAAATTATCAATAAAAATTTAATAATGATACATATGATAATTATATATTGTGTAAGCATTTAGTGAATCATATGAGGGAAAACAAAAATATTAAATACCTTCTCTTAAGGCCTATATTCCGAGGGGAAGAAATCTGAATCTGAGACGAGAACGTGTTACCGTCGACAAAAAGACAGTTTCTAGGACTGTTTGTATCGACGTTGATGATCCCTCTAGGCGAGGCGGCGGCTGCGGCGACAACGTGAGCCGACATGGCAGGAGAACTAAACGGAGAGGACTCGTGGATGATGTTACTATGCGAGATCCGGATTCTTGGGAAGATACTGCATTGACTCTTTATTTGATCATGTTCCAGTACCTTAGGAACTAAGAAACCGTTGTTGCTGTTGTTGTTGGCGTTATCTCCAGCGGTGGAGAAATGGCTAGAGTTTGTGACGGTGTTGAGTTCTTGGAGAAAAGGATCGGTCATGATCACGAACGGATCTCCAAAAGGGTTTATGTGAAGATCTGAGACAGATGGCTGTGGAAGAGGCAATATGCTCGGAGGAGAAGAAATTTCCGGCGACAACATGTGCCCCCCGATACCTCGCACGACGTCGGTCAAGTCTCCTTGGAAATTGTCCATCTAAAGACGCTAATAGACGCTGCACATAATCTATGTATGATGATGTGAGTGTGTTTTGGTGTATATTATATACAGCTATACGAAAAAATATGATCGAAAATCAAGAAAATAGTATCATAATGAATGGGAAGAGGAGATCATAATTCTATCATAGTGTTTGTGAGTATTTTCTCGAAATCTTCAGAAGAGATTGAGAAGATGATGAAGAAGAAGAAGGAATGTTGCTGATGAAGAAAGAGACGCTGACTTTTCCTGATGAGATGAATATCTTCTTCCCTTTCTACATGTTGGTGAGAGAAAGAAAGAGATTTCATAAAAAAGTATAATATTAAGAGATCATCAATATTAAAAGTATGGACGGAAATATAAGTTAAAGTAACTGAGATAATCTATTTATTAATCATTTAGATTAACGGATCGACGGCCAAGTGACAAGTCATTGTACTTTTTAGTTTAGATTATCTTTCCGAGTTACTTGAGTTTGTGAAGTTCTAATATAATATTGGTCCTTGATTACTCGTTGCAAATAATTCGGTAAAATAGAAGCTGTTGGATATAAACAAATACCCTTTTGGCTCGCAAGAAGAATACAAAAAGATTCATATTGGTAAGTTGTTTTTGAGAGAATAGAAGAACACCATTTTTTGAATTTCCTGTCAAATTTAGTTAATTAATGTTAAAGTAATTACTAATGCAAGAAACTAAAGACACATATTCTATTTTAGATGATGACTCTGTTAATTGTCATGGCATGATTTCAAAACAAGATCACGTACTCCTGAATTTGACTATCAGTTTGTTTTTTTTTTTTTCTCATCAAAAGGCGATTATCAGTTTGATATGCATGTTAAGTGTTGTTATAAAATAATGTAAGTAATATTTACCAAAATGGATGTAGTGGTATACTCGCGAAAAGAGATGTGATGACGAAGAAATGCGGCCGCAATTTTCGGAATACGTTTCATTGTTAGCCAATCAAAATCTACCACGAAAACGTTATGGCTAACATTTCTTTTTGCTGAAATCAGTACCCAAGATATAATTTTTTTTTTCTTTCTAATATTGCACTTCATTAACAACAAAAAATAAAAAGAACTGTTGACAAAAAAAAAAAAAACTGTTAACACATATTTATTAGTGGCCATGAGGAAAGATCTTTGGAGAAAATTAACCAGATTCTACTATTTGTAGAACAAAAATGGACAGCACTAGACTGAACATATATAAAAGGAGCTCCTATTACAAACTCCAACTGGTAAGTGGTTGGAATATTTGAGAAATTGGTAATAGAGGCAACTTACAAAGCTCATAGCTCTTGCTCGTCTGTTTGTTTTTGTCCTACTGAGTCAGGAAGCTCTACTTAAACTTGGCACAATGTTTGGAGTTTTCTTGACCTGTTGATTGAAATTGCAAGTAAGCATGATTAATAGAAGATTTTTACAGCGGGATTTTTAGCAGAATATAAGAACACGTCTCTCAACTTTTAATTAAAAAAAAACTAAGAACCGATTCTTAAATGTCTTATTTAAAAATTCATTCTTAGTTTTTAGTTAAAAATTAAGAGACATGATTCTTATATTCAGATTTAGTTCCCATTAATCATGCTCTAAGTGTCACTGTAATTTTTTTTTTTTTACATCAAAAGGCTGATCTATTACTCAATCTTGAGGTAATCTGAGAAGTCATACCGGAATAGAACAACCAACGTACACAAGATCTCGATAAAACGAACGAGCTGATTTAGCTAAAGAATCAGCAACAACATTTTGTGTCCTGGGAACATAGGAAATCTTAAAATCTGGGAAGCAGATCCGCAACGTCAAAAGCTTTTCCAATTCAGTCGAGAAACATGGCCAGTCTTGAGGATTCCTAAGCATCGCTATCATCTCCTTGCAGTCTGTCCCAAAGCTCGGACATGACGAATGTTGAAGCATGTTCTCCATTCCCCACCGCAGTGCTTCTAGCTCCGAATGCAGAGCAGACTCCAGTCTACTAAAATTGCGCATACCCATCAACTGATTGTTCCCCCTACTGTTAATCCAAACCCAACCACACCCACTAAATTGATCTGTAAAGGTTCAGGAACCATCTATCATACAAATGTCTCTCAGACTTATGGTATGGTTTTCAGCATTTATGGCCTCTTGTGGTGGAGAAATAACCTGTTCATTAGCTTTGAACCATGCTTGACATTCACTCTCTGCATAACGGGCTAGTTCCAAAGGATCTCTATCAATCCTTCTGAACAGTTTATCGTTTCGAGCTTTCCAGATATACCATATTAGCCAGGGATAAGGATCCCTGTCCAATTCCGACTCTTGAATGTCATTTTTCCTCCAGAAGAGGTAGTCCATATTCACATACGTACTCTAAAGTGGAAACATAGTAGAGTTGGTTGGCGTAGAAGATAGGGCCCAAACTTGCAACGCAGGTGGGCATTGAAAGATCGCATGGTTGACTGATTCTTCTGGCTTCCCACACCGCGGACAGTAATTATCGCATCTCATATACCTATGATTCAAAGTACTTGTAACAGTCATATGTCCTGTTACTATTTGCCACATAAGATGACACATCTTCTGAGGCGTCTTAACCTTCCAAGCATGTGATTGAAGTTTTGTAAGACTAGGCTCGCAAACTACAGCTTCCTCCTCCTTCATCAATATGTTCCATGCTACCTAATATCCAGATTTGACGGTGTACTGTCCATTCCTTGTGTAGCTCCAGCAATACGTGTCCCGTCGATGTGTTGAACTAATGACCATATTTCTTATGAAAGGTATGTCAACAGCATCTTATGAGAGGTATGTCACTGTAATTCATAATACAGCATCGGTATATATATATTATTATTTTTTGTTGAAGATACATCGGAATATATTACAGTCCCAGCTTTCCTGGACATGGATTTTGACATCTTATTTCGTTTCTTTTTCTTTGAACTAAATCTGGAATAATATAGAAAAGCTTGATACAAGAACAAGTAAATGGCTATAAAGTATATTAAACTTAGACGAAGCATATCTATAATATCTCTTGGATTAGATAATAAAGTGTCGTCAGGATGTGAATATTTGGTCGACTTCATGATGAACACTCTTACTCACGTTCTGCATCACAACTCCAGCAATACTTATATAATACATTAATCCACATACAAACCATATATACGTATACTTTTATGATACAACTCCAGCAATACTTTTATAAAATAATCATATTATAAATTTAGATTTTTTTTTGGGTCAATTTTAGGTTTTTTTTAATTATAAATTTAGGTTTATCATAAAATTTTGCTACGAAAAATACGTATGTTGATCCGTTTACTGGATAGTAGAACCCATACGATTATGGAACAAACAAATGGTAGTTTAGAAACACTAGCTAGCTAGGTGGTGGTTTAACATCATAAGTTTGTCGGAAACAAATAAAAATCTGAAGAGGGAAAACAAGTTTGAGTTACATCTTTTACCTAAAAAAAAAAAAGAAAGTTTGAGTTACATCGGGGAAAATGCTCCATGACGTATTCAGACATTAGTGAGCAAGGTTCTTAAATTTAGAAAGAAACAGAGAAAAGAATGGTTACACAAGAAATTTAGTATTGCCATATACATATTTTGAGTGCGCTAAGGGTGAAAGTTCTGTTCGGAAACGCGTTAGGTGCTAGTCAGACGGTAAGGTTGGACTTAGCGTTTAGAAAAAAAATCAGGGATTAATCGGAGATTACGCGGAGTGAAATTTTTAGATTATTTGACATTTTATAAAATATATTAATCTTTAATTATATATAACATTAATATATTTTCATGTTTAGAACCATACAAAACACAAAGATAGAATATATAAATTTAATATTGTAGAATATTCATCAAAATTATGAATATAAAATATATTTATCAAATTTAAATCAAATAAATAAATAAACATATTATTAAAAAAATACAAAGAAATTAGGCGGTTAGGCGATTATCTAGGCAATTTTTAGAACAATGGGTGAAAGTGATTGTCAATTTATTATGCAAGAGCAAGTTCAAGAATTTCTAGAGACTGGAATCTTAGCTCAATGGATCAACAAAATAAGATAAGGAATTGACGCTGCATCATCAACCAACTTAACCAACTTAAGAACCCCAATTAAGAGACTGAAGTTAATCATAGTCTTTTCTATGAAGTTAATTCAGTGAAGCTAGTTTTCAAGGAGATACATTCGAAAAGGTTCACTTAATGTTAAGCCTATACAAAAACTTTCTATTATTTGGTAATAATCACTTGTTGTCTTTGTAAACTGATAAAGGCCAGCCTTTTTTAAGTTTCTGTTGATAACCATATCCTGAGAAAATTATTATAATTTGATTGGTTGATGATTTTTAATTTGTAACTATTTTAATTAGATCTAAAATAAAAGGAAACTCTATAACCAATTAATATCACTTGCCAAATTATCTAAATGATATTAAAAACAATAAAATATGGCAACTAATTGTCAAAATTATAGAAAGAATAATAATGTTTGATTATTTTCTTATATTTATAAACTATATAAAATAATGATTTTTTATAGAAATCAATAGAAATAATTTCGTATTATTATATAGATAATTATATTCATATATAAATTATTCTAATAATTATTAATGTGTACATATATGATTTATAAGATTTTCTTAAATTAAAAAATATTTATTATGCCTTTCAAAATATCTTTATCAGAATTTTAAACTATTTATAAGATCATATAAAATACAATTTCAAATTATATATTAAAAAGAGGTTACGTAAGTGATTTTTGCTTATGTGTCCATCACTGATGAACTTTTAAGAAAATTATTATATTTTTTTTGATTAATGATTTTTAATTTTTTTGAATATTATTATATATAATTAATACTTGGTGGTTGTCCACAAATTCACATGTATAAATATTGTATGAAAATATAGATATTATATATAATGCTATAGATTTGAATAATGATTAGAAATATTAAAATTATAATTTCTTA